ATTTAATCTGAAGAATCTCAAAAATAATAAATTTTATTTTTAAAATTGCGAGAGAAAATAATTGCTAATGACGCAATTTTCAGTATTCCAGACATTTTTAATGAAACTCGAATTGTGCTTTTTTCTTTTCTTTTATTTATTATAAATAAATTGCATCATATATTTATGACAAATTGCAATTACTGAATTAATTATTAGCCAATTATTGTAGATAAGTATGCTTCTCTTTAAACTTTCATGTTCTTGAAAAGAAACACATACCGCGCAATACTTCCTTTCCGATCAATTAGAATACAAAATATAATATCAACGTAATTAAATTGTAGCAAAATAAAATTATTACCAATTTTATTGTCGTTTAAAAATCAAGCTATCATATCTTATGATAAGATGTAATACAATACATATATAAGATGTGCTATTGTACACGAATTTATGCTGGCTATATTAAATAGAAAAGATAAAACGTATATTATTCAAAATTCAAAAAACTGGGTTCAGAAATATGGATGATGCTAATTTACGAAATAATAACGAAAGATCGGTTATCCTTGAATTCAGAATGTTTTTATGAGATTGGTGACCTAATTTTGCTCAGTCCACTAGTTAATAGAATAATGTCTGCTTCTTCCTTTTCCTTTTTTCTTTCTTTTCTAAATCTAGACAAACTCTGATTTGTATCTTTTTTTATATGAATATATATTGTTTTTTAATGTGTCGACAGTTTTATTAAACTTTTCTTTAATCTCGGTATTGCACATTGCAATTCATTTTTGTTTAATCGATTGATCTTGATCACGTAATACGTAATGTGAATTTATTATAGTAATATATGTATATATTATCATATTTTTTGTTAAAATTTATTAAATGCCTAATTTCTTCATATCTTACATACAAATACACACACACACACACACAAAACGTATCATAAAAAAGAAGAACAAAAAGTATTCCTAGGCGTAAGAAAAAGCAGTGCCAAGTGAAAAGAAAAATAAGTTTGAAATGTAATATTGTAAGATAAATACAACTTTATACAGTGATAGATTAAAATGATAGAGTAATAACCTTATCTTTATGCATCGTTTTCATGTTTTATCACAGATTATTTGATGGAACGCAATGGACTTTTTTTTTTATGTTAGCTTATAGAAATGTAGACAAAGTAGCGTTGACAGAGAGATAAAATAATCCATGCGATATATAATGTGAAGTAAAAGTTTGAAAATGTGAAATTTGGGATTTTGCGAACTCGGAGAGGCAGATTACTCTTTCGCTAGTAATGTCGCTTTTGTTTGAGTATGACCAATTTGTACATTTTTAATCTTTTTAAATAACGCTATGATTTTTAAATTCTTGAATAATTTAAATATTTCTTTATAAATTAACTTTTCAGTGTTTTGTGTGTATTTTGAATCTTGATGTACAAAATCTTTTTATTTTATTTTTTTATTTTTTATAATTTGTTTCATCATGGAAAGTCTCGAAAGAATTCACATCTATTTTAGTTGAAGCGGAATGGAACGTGTACCTACATTCGCATTCTCTCTGTATACTTGTAGAAACTTTTAATTACATCATACTCGAAAGGTCTTCTCGTTAATTTAATGAGAAACTCTCGCAAATGTATTGTCCTCTACAAGATAAAGAACAAGTCGTGGTAAATTACACAGTAAGTTAAAAATTTAGTCAATTCAAACTTTTATACCGTTCTATAGGTTGTGCAATCAATAGTAATGGATTAGAGTTGGTGTAATAATGTATTGTAATCAAAGTTATGAGTTTATAGCTAATATCGAGATATAAAGGAAAGGAAAAATCCCTATTATAAGATACCGAGTTCATTTTGGGTAAGTGCTAGATGTTTATAGGAAGAATTAAAAAAAATAATAAGTCATTTTGAAGAGAATTTAACAAACTTTAAGATAACGTTCCATAAAATTTAATTCAAATATCATTTTTTTTTAAATTAAAGAAATGTAAAAAGTGAGCAAATCGCAAAGTCAAAAAATTGTGCTCCGTAATATGAGGTGCTCCGAGAAATCGATAGAAAAAACGCAAAATATTCATATCAGTATTGCAATTAAAAAACTTTATTTGATGTTTCTAAAATACAAACAAACACAGGTAGCGTGCGCGAAAAATGAGTATGCGATAGATTATACCCAGAACTCGTTTTCAGGTAGTTGGAATCAAGCATCACCGGTATAGACACTCGACATTCATTCCGGTTGTCTTTTTTGTTATTGTACAGTAACATTTATACTTTAGCAATGATTTTCACTATTAACATAGTAGCATGGATTATTTCATACTAGGAATACCCTAGCTATCTCATATTATGATTTCCACGCCTGATGGTTTTACAATCATCAAATCTAACTTCTGTAATTAAACCATTCAACATATCTCGTATTTTTCTATTAGTACGACCTTATTATATTACTACATGAAGAATTTATTGCTAAATATTTATTTATTAAATAATAAACAAAGTTTAAATGCTCACATCTTAATGAAACTTGAAGACATCCAAATTCTAAAATCTTGTTTTACAATGACTACAGGCATCTAATAATGAATTTTCTATTAAATAGTTTTCAATCCAAGAGCAATAAATTCATGGTGGAACTAATAGATAGCGTTTATTAATTTAGCAGAAACGTCGCTATTTCATATTAGATGCCTATCTCATAATAGAGATTTTTCCTCTAATTCCACGTTATTAGATATTATTGTCGCAATATTATTGTCGTTTGATAAGCATCTGATTGGTTGTTTTGGCAAAATTAATCGTTAATTATCATAACTAGTTCACCTTTTAATGAAGATTCGCTGTAATCGCGCGTTGCCTATACTTGGAATTTTACATTGCATATTAAAGATATTGGAGAAAGGATTACCTAGACTTTGTCTAAACGCGACTTGATTATAATTATCTCAGTGCGGAGGTGTTTCAGGAAACGTAGGATATGGATCAGTGCAATAGGTTGCCCTGTATGTATTCTTTTGTTTGGATAAAACGGCTACTTTTCTGTAAACAATAAATACATCAGCGAGTCATCTTCGTTTTGTCTTTTGTTGTTATTGTTGAGCTCATTGTTCTTTAAAATTGTCGACTTCTTTTCACGTATAAAGTCGCAATTGTTTCTTTTATTAATATCCGCTTGTTTGGAACGATCGAACTATCCATTTTACGACCTAGAAGATAGGTCCTCACAGCCTTGTATGCCATAAAGAAAGCACGCGGTCTATTGATTTTACATTTACCTGGATGCATGGAGTAAATATCCGTGAAGCGTGATAGTTACACGTGGGATTGCTGTACACAACGTCGTTTGGCGTCAGCCAAACCGTATCAAATCTATTCAACGTCAGTGTTACATCGCCCCCATCGAGTAGTGTAATTTGCTTCGCACGCGATTCACGATTTAACATGCGAACGTGTCCACGTGGTGCGATAGATCAGTGCGTTAAATCGATTGCTCGCTACTTGCGAGGAAATCCTGTTTTCCTAAGTATAGTTTCTTATTCCCAAAATTTCTTATTTCAAAAATATAAAGAATGTATTTACGTATGTCGAACATTATATATTTACATATTTATTTCTTTCGATAATGTGTGCTGCAACGATCTCTTTTTGTTCGTAGTTTCTACTTTGTCGTTAACTTATCAAATTCTTTTACGGTTTTTTTCTTTTTAATTTATTATATCACATATTAATGTTTTATAAACACGTTAATATTGCTGCTGAATAGAATAAAAGTTAAATAAGATTAATAGACAGTTTCATCGTTTTACTATTTCTTACTTTTTGTTTTGTAAATACATATCAAGTTATTTCGAGAAAAGCTTATGTATAATATATCACAAGATTTGATGCGAAGAAAACTGTAAAGAAAATTCTCAATTGCCATAGCTGCTATTAAGTCGAGAAGATATTTAAGATGATAAATGCTTTTCACGAGTACCTTTTTGGTAGCGCTCGTAAAGGGGAGAGAAGAAAATACGGGACCGTTTCTGAAAACTTCAGGTTCATTTCGCGCGGACGAATAAAAGTAATTTGCTAAAGGGTCTCCGCCTAATCCACCCACAATCCCGCTAGCCAAATTCTCTTTTCCTGTCTTCGTGGAAAATCCCTACCGTATATACGTCCTACACCTTGTATATACTGTGGCT